CGGGGTGTCCTCTTCATAAAATGTTCGCCGAGGCCGAAAAATAAGGACTTTTTAAAAACACCACGGGACGCGGGACAAATTGTTGAAAAGTGGGACTGTCCCACCAAAAGCGGGACGTCTGGTCACCCTACACCTGTGTCACTTGGGATCTGTAGTCCCTGGGCCTGCAGAACGGTCTGTCACCTGCACATCCTTGCCTCTGCCCTCCAGGTCAGGACAGCCTACCACCCACAAGGGCCAGCTTTGGCCTTTGAGCCCTGGCTCAAAAGCCCTCCTTTTGGCTCCTTCCCAGTCCCTGCTCCCAGGGTCTCACACTGGAGCTTGAGGCTTCACCCCTGTAGCTACAGAGCTCCTGCCAAGTTCAAGACACCACTTCTGAGATTCCAGTGCTGCACCTGGACCCTAAGACCCCACCCCTGACTCTCCCCCACTGCTGCAGGGCCAGTGGAACTGCCCCAAGGTCTAACACCCCACCAAGGATCCCCCAGCATCAAACTGCCATTACCCCACACCTTGTTCAGGCAACCCCAGATCTTATGACCACTGCCGAGATAGCTTTACCCAGCTGCCACTGTCACCTATGCAAGGAAACCCTACTAAAAGTAACCTCCTCTTGTGTGGTTACTAATGCATGGGCATTTCTTCAGAATGGAAAAATAATTTCTTTCTTCTTGAACTACCTCTTAGCAAGCTCAACTGCAAGGATTACTACTCACTAGTAGGTGCCAGCTGACTCCAGCATACCATCACATAAGGCTAACATTTTCATATTTTAAAGATTCATTGGGCGGCACCTGGGGCTCAGTGGGTAGGGCTCCAGCCCCATATACTGAGGGAAGCAGGTTAGAGCCCAGCCCCAGCCAAACTGCAACAACAGCAAAAAAAAGCCAGGTGTTCTGGCAGTGCCCATAGTCCCAGCTACTCGGGAGGCTGAGGCAAGAGAATTGCCTAAGCCCAGGAGTTGGAGGTTGCTGTGAGCTGTGACACCGTAACACTCTACCGAGGGTGATACAGTGAGACTCTGTCTCTAAAATAAAAAAGATTTGGAAATTGAGATGGCTTTATAATTGTATAAGTTTAGTGTGATAATGTTTCTCCGCACTCCCCCCAAACCTGCTTTTAAATTGGTGATACAGTTTGTGATGGAAAAATACAACAGTCACATAAATTTAGAATATACCTGAAGGATCTTGGCTGTTAAACAGGTTGTTTGGACAACATTAAGTTTAAAGTCAAGCTTAGGACTTTCTGAAATTATGAGAGATATAACTTTTTAATGCCTAAAGAGGAGGAAATATGTCTATAGATTATTAGTTTTAAAAAAGAAAGAAATTAGGATAGGTTTAAAGCTGAACAATATTATCTTTATCACACAACAAATCATGTTCAACTAGAAACCAGTTACCTGGAAGACTGAATCTGGAATTTCTCTTTCATAGAGGGGTATTTGCTGTACAGGGAAAATATCTAATAGACTTGTGTTTCTAAGCTGAAATAGCTGGAAACGTTTATTCTTTATTATCTCCTCTTCAGAAACAAAGTTAAATTCATCTTGCAATTGTTCAAGACGGAAATACTTTGGAATAACCTGTTCCTTATATCTCATGTGCTGTAAAACACAAAAATATAAAATCTTTATTTAAAACATTAAGTTTTTTTAAATTCAGGAATTATTTCAAATACTTTTTTCTCTATCAGCTGTGAGCTGTACGAGTAGCAATATAAGTAGGAAATTAAGAGCAACTGAATACAGAGGGCTAGAACATGCACCAAAAATACAAATCCAGTCTACATGGCCTCTCAACCATTTCCCAGTCATGACTTACACAGAAAGTGAAAGATTTGTATTGTACGCTGACTTGAAAGTGACGTAAAACTATTCTTATCTGGTTGCTCTAAGAGTTGAGAACAGGTTAGTATCTCTGTACACCTACAATCAATTCTGCACATCAATTGGAAAGCTCTAATCTAGGGGAGCTCAGTTGTAGTAATCTAATTCATAAGTTCCTTTATTTAACAAATGGAAATGTGAGTGCATAGTATGTACAAGAAATAGTGCTAGTTGCTACCAAAGAGACAAAGATTTCTCAGCTGTAGTTCTACCACCAGGAAAGATAAAATACATAAATGAATTAATTACAGTAAAGGGCAGAATAAGATTGGAATTGTAAGAGTTTATTTAAAAAGAAAAAAGGTTGACAGGACAGCAAGTTGAGATTCTGTGTCTAACTGAGGTTACCAGAGAAGCATTTATCAGCCTTGCAGGGTGGATAAGGTAGCCACTGTGGATGCCCTTCTAGGCAGAATAATGGCATGAAAAAGATATGAAGAAAGGATGTTTGAGGCTCGGCACCTGTAGCACAGTGGTTACGGCGCCAGCCACATACACCAAGGCTGGCAGGTTCGAATCCGGCCTGGCCAGCTACACAACAATGATGACAACCTCAACAAAAAAATAACTGGGTGTTGCGCTGGACGCCTGCGATCCCAGCTACTTGGAAGGCTGAGGCAAGAGAATCACTTAAGCCCAAGAGTTTGAGGTTGCTGTGAGCTGTGATGCTAGAGGGTGACATAATGAAACTCTGTCTCAAAAAAAAAAAAAAACAAAGAATGAAAGGATGTTTGGGGTACACAGAGCTCCGTAGGCTATAAGGAACTATTGAAGTGACAATATAATGGAGTCTGAGGGAATAAGTGTGTCCATAAGTCATCTTGATATCTTCAGTATCTAATAATGTGGCTGGCATATAGTTTGGTGCAATAGATGTTAACCTCAAAGTTACCCTGCTGAATATGCAATGGGCTGCTAAGTAGATACAAAAGATCAAACATCAGGCCTAACACAATAATTACTGCAGTTACTAAATTTCTAGTTGCCCTTACAATACTGTAAAGTGGGTTAAAAACTGTATCCGTCCTCAGGTTTACCTTTATGTCCCCTAGTGCCTAGAAAAATATACATAGCAAACTATGGGAGAGTAGAAAGGGGTAGAGCTTAGGAAATAGAATACATTTACTATAATGATACTTGCTATGACTTACCCTAATAAATTCCATTAAATCAGAATATTCTGGATTATTTGGATCAATTCTGACTTCGTTTGCCCATTCAAAAAGCTTCTGTGCATTAGTGAGCCATGGAATTCCAGGAACCCCTCTTGCATCCACATTCCTTAACATACTAACATAGAGAAAATATTTTGTGAATTTGCATACAATATGAAAATTATATTAATACGTCATTAAACCTACCCAATTGGATATTTAAAGATAACAACCTATCTATCTCCTGTCTTTAAGGATAAAATTGGAAATTTAGATGTGATAGCTGTCCTGGTTCTTCTCATATTCAAACTTGCATCAAAGAAAGGTAGAAGGATAGTAAGCTTCTTAAGAAGAAAGTCTGTAAATCTCTTCCATCTCCACTCCATGTAGTAGCTAAAATATAGTAGATGTTTAAGTGAACAGTGCTGATTGGATATATTCTATAATCCCTAAACATAGGCACTGATTAATATTTTCTTTTCATATGATGCACAATATTGAGATTTAACCAAAATATTTGCTTAAGTAAAACCAAGAAAGTACACAAAATCAAAACAACATTTAGGCTATATCTCTCCAATTTAAACAAAATAGAGAGTAATGCAATTAACCAGGCACTATGTTCCAAGGAAGTATCTTTGGTCATATGAGACAATCTTCAAAAGTTTGAGAGATGTAGTTTTTATAAAAAATAGGCTAGACTCATAATCTATCCTTAGTGACCTGAGCTATAGGCTAAGTGTGGCAGGAATTCATCCCCAAGGAGTTAAGATTTCTTTAGAGCTTCCAATTGCGCTAGTTATTTAATCTCTCTTCATAAATAACCAAGCCCATCACGTGTAGAGGAATTTGGACTAAAAGGTTTCCAAGATCCTTTCCATAAAGTCCTCTAGAAAATATCCCATTTATATATGGGGATTCCAAAAATACAGTTCTGACAAAGACTCAATAATGTCTTAGCCATATCTGTTCTTCTTTCTTTCTTTCTTTCCTTTCTTTCCTTTCTTTCTTTCTTTCTTTCCTTTTTTGTTTGCAGTTGTCATTGTTGTTAAGCAGGCCCAGGCCAGGCTCGAACCTACCACCTACAGTGTATGTGACCGGCGCTCTACTCACTGAGCTAAGGGCACCGAGCCTATCTGTTCATATTTCCATAACAAATCCTCTAAGGTTATTGCTGCAAAAGGCAATGCCTGAACAAAGTTATAAATAATTGAAATCTGAATATTTTTCTTTTCTTTTACTTCCTGTTTCTGCTCTCATGTTTGAACATTTTGATGTCTATGTCATAAGAGATCACTAGGACCTGATGGTCTTGACACTATCGCATAACAAAGTTTCCTTCTCTTGAAAACAATCTTAGGTTCAGCGCCTGTAGCTCAAGCGGCTAGGGTGCCAGCCACATACACTGGAGCTAGTGGGTTCGAATCCAACCTGGGCCTGCCAAACAACAATGACAGCTACAACCAAAAAGCTGAGCATTGTGACGGGTTCCTGTCATCCCGGCTACTTGGGAGGCTGAGGCAAGAGAATCACATAAGCCCAAGAGTTTGAGGTTGCTGGGAGCTGTGACGTCACAGCACTCTACTCAGGGTGACAGCTTGAGACTCTGACTCAAAAAAAAAGAAAGAAAGAAAAAGAAAACATTCTTAGCTCAGCTCCCATAAATAGCAATCCCCAACCTCTTGGTACCAGGGATCAGTTTCATGGAAGACAATTTTTCCACAGTATAGGTTGGGAGGGTAGAGATGGGACAGGAGGCACAGCTCAGGTGGTGATGCTGTGTGACCCAGTTCCTAACAGGTCATGGACCAATACTGGTCCACGGCCCAGGGGTTGGAGACTATTGCCCTAGAAGATAGAATCTGAGGAAAAGCTTAAATGTTAATGAATATATTAGAGAAAGAAACTTAGACCATTATATCCTTAAAAAAAAAGAGAGAGAGAGAGAGTTTTGGATTTGGATTTCAACATAAACCCATGATTTCTGCCTTATGAGAAGTAATAAAAACCTCAGAGCCTCACTACAGTTACTCCCTCAGCTGCTCCTATAAGTAGTTTAGCTGTGGGCTGTTACAAAATCCCTGTGTCATTTCCATGACCCCCCCACAACTGAACACCAAGTAGGCAATACTGTCCCTTAGTTCAAGACCAGTCAAATGACTGAAGATTTTCTCTCTTTCTTATACACCCAAAGACATCATTTTTTAAAACTGATGTTTAAAATTGATGTTTAAAAACATTTTTTAAAATTTACAATTTTAACCATTTTTAAGTACAAGGTGGCACAAAGTTCGTGTGAAGTTTTAAAATAGTTGTATATATTATATACACATATATACTATATATTATTCAGTATCATTAAGTACCATTAACAGTGTTATGCAACAGTCACCACCATCCATTTCCAGATTGTGGTGATGACTGCATAACTGTGAATATATTAAAAAATTATATAGTTTAAGTGGTTGAATTTTATAATATACATATGTGAATTATATCCTATTTGTTAAGGTGGGAATTCACATGTGGGCAAAGAAAAACAAACTCCCACCCTAACACTAGTAAACTTATTAAAAATAGTTAAAAATGCAACTGGACTCAAAGCTAAGATAAACACTCCTGTGAAATGGAAAAGAAAAGCAGAGTGGTGAGTGGGGAAAGTGTTGTGCACCCACTGGGCTTCAGGCCTGGAAGGAGTCATAGGTGGTTGTGGGCTCAGTTTCTAAGAAAAGCTGTCAACACCAGGCTTATCATTTTAAGCCAAAGATTTGGGTGGAACTTCACTTACAAAAATGATACTGATCACTGCACAGGGCTTTGGCTTATAGAGAGAGCTGTGAGTCTAGAGAGGGAGAAGCACAAACACACTGTATCATTATAGGGAACTGAGCTAAGCTTTCAGGTGACCAAATGCCTAGATCCACAATAGCTCCAATAATAAGCCTGTGTAGGTGTCCCAAAGACACAGTAAGGACGATGCTAGATTTTGGGCTTGGAGGGAGAAAGGAAGATACCTTCAAAGTCATTAGGGAAGGAAGGGTAGACACAGAGGGAGAGAATAAAAATAACCACAAAAATGTCTGAATCAAAATCACACCAAAGCTCTCCCATTGAAAATGAATGATCCTATGATTTAATAATAAAAAATAAAATAAAATAAATTAAAAAAAAAAGAAAATGAATGATCCTGATAAACAAAACTTCAAATCACATAAAGAAGCTGTGCTCAGAAACTATTAGCTAATAGTTAATACTATTAATGATTTACGTAAATTAATTGTAGTTGAAATTAATTTTAGAGAAGTCTGCCAAACACATTTTAATGAAGTATGCTTAAGATGTTAAAACAAAAACTAATAACTCATTTTTTAAAGCAAGAAATTATGAAGACAAAACCAGGCAGAAATAAGAACGAAGAACAAGTAGAACCAAGTAGGAAACTTTCAAAAGTTATAATGTAAAAATCAGATAAACCCTACACAGGACAAAGTTGAATAGTGAGTTAAGGAATTGAAAGATAGTACCCAGAAATTAACCCAAGATGCAGAGGAGAGACATTAAAAAAATATAAAATAATAGGTCAGGGACAAGGAAAATAGACTGAGAGCCTCCAAAATAAATCCAATAGCAAGTTGGATTTATAAATTAATAAATAAATCCTCTCCTGAAGGAGAGGAGTGGGAATGGTGAATAAGTAATATTTAAAGAAATAGTGGGAGAGATTTTTCTATAATTGAAGAAAGATGTGAGTTCTTAAACATAAAATTTATTCTACCAAACAGGAAGAAGAATAAGGATAAGTTCACACATAAATAATATATTGTGTTAAAATTTCATTATATTAAAGATAAAGCAACATTTTTTTCACAGCTCAATTTTTCCTTTTTTATTATGGTAAAATATGCATAATATAAAATTTAGCACCATTTTAAGTGTACAATTCAGTAGCATTAAGTCTATACACAACCATCACCACTACCTACTTCCAGAATTTTTCATTATCCCAAACAGAAACTCTATACCCATTAAAAAATAACTACCTATTTCTCCCTGTTCCCAGCCCCTAGTAACCTCTATTCCATTTTCTGTCTCTATGAACTAAAAAAAAATATTTTTTAATTACCAGGGAGAAAAATGGCTACAAAAATCTGACATTTATACAAATGTGTAAGCAGACTTTTAAATAGCAATGAGACATAGCAGAAGATTATGCAGTACTATAATAGCTTCAAAATGTTAAGAAAAAAGAAATACTATCTTTAAATTTTATACCCACCTAAGCTACTATTCAAGAATGAGGACAAAATAAAGGCATTTTCAGATGTACAAAGACTAACCAAATTTGCTATCCACAGAAACTGACTGAAATGATCATTCAAAGAACAGACTTTAGGCAAGAAAAAAAAATCTAGACTATATGTATAGGAAATATGAAATGAGCAAATAGAAAATTTAATAAACTATGTTGGAAAATTTCATTAACTAGTTAAATGTAAGAAAAACTGATTTATGTTTAAAAATATGTAAATGAAAACTCTAGATGATCATTGGGATTGGAGAGGTGTGTAGGTAGTATTAAAGCATTTGAAGACCCTCTTTTGGTTCACTGTTTTATCTTCAGCTCAGTCAGTATTTGATGAATGAATGAGTGAGTGAGTAAATGAATGAACAAGAAATACTCTCTTTCAGATCTTCTTTAGCTTCATTCTGTGACTCCCACAATCAGCCCTGCCTTCTGGAGCACCCATTCCAAGTTTCCAGAGCAGGGTTCAATGGCAGCCCTTCAGCTTCCATGACTGTGGAGGATAATTCTATAACTTCCTCTAATTAATAAAGTTTTACTTGGACAGGGCCCTGCACTTTATAAACCTCTCTTGCAATTCACTCCCTGTTGAAACCTATCACCTGTCCTACTCTTGCACAGAGCTGCCTTCCATCTTTTGTGAACTTGAGTTCCCTAGTAACTGGAATTATAACAAACAATGAGGACAAGCCAATGTATATGGCCCAGAGATCACTCACTGGTATCTTTCAGGAATAAGTGGGTAGGATTAGGAAGGGTATGTGTGAATAAAAAGTGGAGGCAAAGTATGCAGACCAGCAGACCAGGCTTGTGAGGATTTGGGCAGGAAATTAGCCAAAAAGAATTGGCTAATTCTTTGATTCAGGGCTTAAGCAAATGTTTGAGCTTTTGTTTGTTTTTAGCAAAGGTGGTTATGAGATACAAAAGACCAGGAAGATGGACATTGATGATAAAGGAAGAAAAAGATATAAATATGTTCCTAGGAAGAAAAAGATATAAATATGTTCCTAGAATCCTAAAAGACACAAAGGAAATTTCCAAATTACCTGTATAAAAGTCATCTTCAGAATGAGGGGAAACAAACATCTGACTCCCCAAAAAACACAAAGAAAATGATGATGAGGCAAACGTTAAGAATAGCTGTTGTGGGGATTATGCTAGAGAAATATTAAGAATGTAAGAAAATAATAGTTCTGGGTATTAAAAAGCTTATTCACTACCTCCAAAATAAATTATTTTTATTAACTGTCAATTTTTCTCTTAAAAAGCTATTCTCTAGGCATCTAAGACAATGATCTCATTTACTTAGAAAAATAAGAACATTCATTAAAATTACATTTCTGTCTTCATAGAGATTTCTGTCTCACTGTCTTATTTAAAAAAAATATTTTCTCTCCTCTGGAGCCACAGCTGTTTTCTTGGGGTGTGGTTAGAAACTTTCCTGACTCTGAAGGACCTTATACACTTTTCCTAATATAGTCTGGCTTTTTTTTTTTCACATGGATATCTTCAAAAAGATAAAGATTGCCCCCATTTTACAGAAATCCACACTTTGGTTCTGCTATCTTATTTTTTAGCATCTTTTTACTTTCAAACTTCTGGCTAAGTAACCTACCTCCAGGACTTGAGTTTCCTCAGCACTATTGATCTCCTTGTGCTATTGCCATTTAGTCTAGGGGTTCCTTCCTCTCAAACTTTTATTTACCCAGGAAAAGCTTTATGAACTCTGACTCTGGCCATATGCCACTGGTCTTTATAGCGTTCTCCTTGTTATTTTTTTGATAGTTTCTAATTATAGTTTTGATTTCTCATTTAATTCAAGTTATTCATAGCAATTAAATATTTTTAGTTTCATTTTTTTAAAAGACAATTGTTTTAGAAAAGTTTTAAAATTACATAGAAGGTACAGAGAGTTCCCACATACCTGGCCTCCATGCATATGTACAGCCTCCACCACTAGCAACATCCCCCTACCAGAGAGATGATGATTCCTTCCTTGATGATTAGTGATGTTAAGTATATTTCGTTCACGTCTTTTGAATATGTGAGGTGGTATATACCACCTTTTATTAATTCACTCACATATTGGTGAGCACTTGGGTTGTTTCCACATCTTTGTGATAGTGAATTATGCTGCTATAAACATTCGAATGCAAGTGTCTTTGTGATAGAATGTCTTTATTTTTACTTTGGGTAAATGCCCATTAGTGGGATTGTTGGATCCAATGGTAGGTCTACTCTTAGTTCTTTGAGGTATCTCTATACCAGGCATCCTCAAACTATGGCCTGTGGGCCACATGCAGCCTGCCTAGGACATTTATCCGGCCCACCAGGTGTTTTTGTTGCTGCTGCTGCTGCTGCTGCTGCTGCTGCTGCTGCTGCTGCTGCCTGTCGTGCTGAGCAGCCAACTCGTCCGTGGCCCGCTGTCTGGCACTCTAACGGTCTGAGGGACAGTGATCTGGCCCTCTGTCTAAAAAGTTTGAGGACCCCTGCTCTATACTGTGCTCCATACAGTTAGTACTAGCTTGCAGTCTCACTAACAGTGTGTAAGAATTCCTTCTTCTCTGCACTTCCTTGATGATTAGTGACGTTGAGCATTTTTTCATGTGCTGATTGGCCATTGATCTATCTTCTTTTGAAAAACATTCGTTCATGTCTTTTGAACAGTTTTTAATGAAACCTACTTGTTCTTTTATATTTATCATGTTCCTCAGTGAAGGAAGCCAGCATTATCATCATTTTTATAGTTTTATTGTACTCTTTCTAGTAATCTTGTTTGTGTGTTCTAAAAATTAATTTTAACACCTCTAGGAATTCCCAGAACACAGAATAAAATTTCTAGGAATTTCCTGCCAGCAAGCTGATAATGTATAAATTATTCTTTATAATCCAGCATGACTGGGAGATAAAAAGGCCCAGAAATAAAATTCTTGGGAGTCTTGGCCTACAAGTTAAAGGATATGGGAATGCTTCTCTCATCATCTGTGTGGCTATAATACTAAATGCATTGAAGAGACACATTCTCCTACATATAAACTTACTGTCTTAGTAAAGTGATTTAAAGAAAAAGTAAATTAGGGGCGGCGCCTGTGGCTCAATGGGTAGGGCGCTAGCCCCATATACCAAGGGTGGTAGATTCAAACCGGGCCCTGGCTAAAACTGGAAGAAAAAAATAGCCAGGTGTTGTGGCGGGCACCTGTAGTCCCAGCTACTCAGGAGACTGAGGCAAGAGAACCACTTAAGCCCAAGAGTTTGAGGTCACTTGTGAGCTGTGACGCCACAGCACTCTACCCAGGGTGATAAAGTGAGACTCTGTCTCTACAAAAAAAAAAAAAAAAAAAAAAA